TTACCTAAACAAATATTACAATATCCAGCAAGCGCATGAAGTTGCAACCGCTCGTTTGGACTCTTGGTGCATTCCTCAAAAACTTCCAATGCCCCAGCTTCTTTTAGATATTCCCAATTAATTGGATCATAAGCAAAGTTAGCTAAGTTCGCTGTTACTTGCTCCTTTGCCTCTGACAGATACGTATTTTTTTTAATTTTATTGATTATTATTAGCTTTAAAGATCAAGAATTGTTTGCTCACCGACGTTGGTGCTGGTATGATACTCTTCTACCAGATATTCAATATAATCCGGCCTTGGTATTCCTCCTTCCGGTGTTCGTCTTTTTAGATGGGCATGGCCAGAAAACATTTCAATTAGGAAAGTGATCTGCGGCCTTCTTTGCTTTAAGCTGAAATTAGTCAAGAACGTAAACGCAGCGGTACGTAAACCCGTGTCAGCTGACACGATCTATCTTACCAGAATGCCATGTAAATGAAAACTAAGCACCGCAGAATTTTTCTGTAGTTGTAGCCCGTAGCGCAGAAATCTGCGGAATTTAGATTTTTCCGTGTCAGCTGATTTCTCCTTCTTTAGATGGTTGCCACTTCGTCAGTTTTACAGATGGTAAAAAAGATATAAGTTCCTACTCAAAATATTGTTACGATTATCCTCGAAACCTTGAGGGATTACCCAAATATACTCGGGCTCGTATGGCTGGATTGTTAAATAAATGCTAACGATAACCGAATTGTAGTACAATTAACTTTATTGTACAACAAACAATTTACAATACTTGCTAATACAGTAAAAACACTTTACAATACTTGTTAAAGCAATAACAACGCTTTACTACTTGTTAACACAATTAAACTTATAGCTTGCTTATTCGCAACTCGATTCTCCGCTCACTTTACTTGTAGCTTGCTGAATTGTAACTCACTCACCTCGTGGTGGCGGCGCCCTTATATACCTGCGCTGGCACTTATGGCAACTCTAGAACATTCTGAAGTTTATCGCTCATTCTCTTTCTCTCGCTGTTCGCAGTGTTCATCCAACTTGACGTTTCTCTTTGTGGAACATTCTACGTCATTCTTCGAACATTCTGCCTATTTCTCGTTGTTCGCTTTGTGTTGCCGCAGTATTCGCCACAATATGTTTAAAATATTTGAAATTTACTATTGAATAAGGTTTTTGTTGAAAACTAAGTAGTTTATATTTAGCTAAAATCTATTATAGCACGAAAAATTGTAGTTGAAAGGTTAAGTTTATGAAAAGGCATTGATGAGTGGCAACAGTGTAGTAAGCAACACTGAGGGCTCCAGTAATCGACAAAATTCTGCGTATACAGACTGCGTTTAAGTATACGTTCTGCGTTCTCGACTAATTTCAGCTTTAGCCAAAGTTGTTTACAAACATGTGATAAGAAAAATAGCTGTCAAATTGATAGGGTGTTATGTATCGATTATGCAACGGTACATGTGTAAATTTTAAATGTGAAGATGGAAAAAAACCATCCCTATCAATGAGAAATTATTTCTTTATGAAGATACATCCAAAGTACAAAACACTTAATAAAAGCCTACATAACAATAAAAATCATTATATAAACCATATTTCCCATATAAGATATTTTTATTGTCTGAAATGGAATAAGATACTCGATTTTAAATCACTCCCTTTATGGATAGTTTGAGCAAACTTATCGTAATACAAACCTACATAATAAAAATTATTATGGCTGCATTTCTTTATTAATTCTGAATGCTTGGAATAAACTTTTTGTTAACTTATTCTTTAGAACGTTCCTGATGATATGTTAACGTATATTTCAAACGGATTCTGTTTATTCCGGCTGTGAAGTGGGATTATCCGGAATATATAAAGAAACGCAACCTATATAAACCATATTTCACATATAAGATATTTTTATTGTCTGAAATGGAATAAGATACTCGATTTTAATCACTCCGTTTATGGATAGTTTGAGCAAACTTATCGTAGCCGGCGACTATACTTTTTAACGCCGTTATGAGAAGTAAGCGATCATATGTTTATTGACAGGAAATGACAACAACAACCGACAATTTTCTTCAATTGACAACGCAGTCGGTGAAGGGAAACATTTTGGTTTTTTTTGCATTGAGTATAGCAATTAAAAGTTAAAGTAAAAACGCAATTAAATGGCAAATTAACCAAACTAGTGCAATCGTTTACCAGCTCAACTCGTGTATTAGAGGAACGCAAGCAAGCTTTGGAGCTAAAGCCATTTGCAAAGCTTGTTGAAAAAATTTGCTGCGAACCTTGTGAGGTTGTACAACAAAACCCAGAAAAATGTTTCGTAGTCGCAGTTGGTTTGGAGGGAATTGGAACCGCCCAAAGAATCGCCTTTCATTGGAACATCTGAAGTACCTGTACAGTATACTAGAGAAAAATACGACTGTGTCGGAGAGTAATCGCGGACTCTTGGTGGAATCACTGCGATGCATTGCAGAAATACTGATCTGGGGCGATCAGCATGACTCTTCTGTATTTGAGTGCGTAACGAAAAATTTGTATAGGGTATTTTTGCAACAAACATCAATCGCTAATAAACGACATGCATTTACTCTATTAACAGTTTCTTTCTTGAGAAAAATATGCTGTCCTACTTTTTACACATAATGCGTCAAAAAAGTGGGGGCTCGAGCTTTGTGTGTGTGCAGCTATTACAAACGTTAAATATTTTATTTGAAAACATACGCAATGAGACATCGCTGTGTAAGTAACAATGCCTGGGCAACATACCAAACATGATATGGGCTAATGAAAAATATTTACGCTTGTAATATGTATTTCGTGCAATTGTATTTGTAGATTATCTCTTGAGCAACAATCATGTCAATTCT